CCACCCTCCACCCTCCTCCTCCTCCTCCTCCTCCTCACCACCTCCACCTCCTCCTCCTCCTCCTCCTCCTCCTGTTGAACACAGTCTCCCGCATCCGATCGGGAGGGCCTCTCGGGGGGGGGTCGGCGGCGCTCCCCGGCGCTGCGGGTCATTCGCCTGGCATGGCACGACCTCGGCTCGGGGTGCGTTCTTGGAAGTCGCGCGCGGCCAGTCGCCTCTGGCGAACGCGCGAGACATGTTGGCACGTGCCATGGCCGTTGCCTCTCGCTCGCTTCTCTGAAAGACGAGGGTGGGATGAAGACACAACCAGGATCATTCAGACACCCTCGCGTGGTGGGAAAGCCCAGTTAGCTCGCCCCCTGGTCCCCAGTCAGCCCCACGCCAAGGACGAGCACATGCACGGACACAGTATCAAGCTGCGTGCGTGACCCTCGGTTGGGCCAAATCCGCGAGAGCCCAACACCTGCAAACGCGCGGCGTCCGGGCGCCTGCACTGGATGCAACGTGGGGGTCGAGACCTCTGGACTCAAGCGCACGCAGCCTTCGGCCGTCACACTTCTGTTCCAGGATTCGAAGAAATTGCTCACAATGGCATGCGGACAAGAACTCCCAAACAACAACAGATCCCCACCGCCCCGGTTCAAAAATGCCAGAGACATATCCTCACCCTCTGGCCTAACATTACGAGCAACACTGTCTCGCCCCTGGCGTGAGTCCTGGAGCTGCCAGCAACACCAGTCATCCTCATCCCCCCTGCAGCTGCCAGCAAACTATAGTCACCCCCGTGGCCTAAAACTGCAGCAAGTGGCCTGCAACATAAAACTGCAGCATTTCCGCATCGCCATGGCTTCAAACATCAAACAACGAGTCCCAACCACCCTGACCTACATCTGCCGGCAGCATCTTCGCACCGACTAGCCGAAAAGTCAAAGCATAATTTACCCAGCCCTTGGCCTATAACTACAAGTGACACATCGTCGCCCCTGGCCTAAAACTGCAAGAAACATATCAACGCACTTTGGTATAAAACTGCCAGCAACACTTCCCCAACCCTGTATACTGCCAGCAACATCTCCTCGTCTCACGGCGCCGAACTGCCAGAGCCCGCTAAAACGTGCCAGCAACATGTCCTCACAGCCCTGGCCTGCTGTCGCCAAGGTTGTCACCCCCTGGCAGAAGGCCCAGAAATGCCAACGAAGAGTCCTCATCCTCACTCCGTGGCCAGCAGGTGCCGCTCCTGCACGCTGCCCGCCGGGCAGCGGCGGGGCCAAAGGGCTGCCCCGACTGTCTGTGAGCTCCAGGCTCCGCCCTTCGGGGGCGCGCAAACATGGATTAGCGATCCATGGACTTGGCGCGCGGCCGTCAAATCATAGATCGGGGGGGTGGCCTCCCCAAAATGCGGCCGGTGCCGCCTCGCTCGGCGGCGGAAAGCCGCGATTTCCCCTGGCAGCGGGGGCCGTCGCTGATCCACGCCCTCTTAAAAATCCATGTTCGCGATCGCCTGAGCCCCTGCGGCCCCCGAGGGCGCTGCGGAGCTGCACGCTTCCCCCTGCCGCGTCGATCCGACCCGGCCGACCCCCCCCCCCCTGTCCGCCGCCCCCCCCCGCAGCGGCCACGGCGGGCCGGCGCCTCCCTCCACAGGGCCTCGGCCAGCTGCTCCATCTGCTCGGTCATCGTGAGCTCGCCCCTGCCGCGGGCGGGGACGAGGACGATGGACGGGGGCGAGGGGGATTCTCCTCCTCCTCCTACTCCTCCTCCTCCTCCTCCTTGCTGTTCCGCCTTCCTCTTCTGTTCCTCACTCACACACTCTCTGTACATATTTTTCCATGCTTGTTCATGCTATGTGTCACTTTCATCGGGTGTTCATTTCGTGGGGATTATCCGTATTTCTTTCTCCTTCTCTCTCTCTCTCTTTCTCTCTGTCCCTGTCTCTTTCAGTATGTTTCGCTCTCTCTATCTCCTATTTCTCACTCCGAGCCCCCTCTCCCCTCCCTTATCATCCTTGTGCCCGCTCGCGTCCCCTCCTCCTCCTCCTCATCCTCCTCCTCCCCCTCCTCCTCCTCCTCCTCCTCCTCCTCCTCCTCCTCCCCCTCCTCCCCCTCCCCCTCTTCCTCCTCCTCCTCCTCCTGCTGCTGCTCCCCTCCTCCTCCTCAACCTTTTTCCTGCCCCCCCTCCTCCTCCAATCCTTCCCCCGTCCTCTTCCTCCTCCTCCTCCTCCTCCTCCTCCTCCTCCTCCTCCTCCTCCCTCCTCCTCCTCCTCCTCGTCCTCCTCGTCCTCCTCCCCTCCTCCTCCTCCTCCTCCTCCTCCTTTTCCTCCTCCTCCTCCTCCTCCTCCTCCTTCCTTTTCCTCCTCCTCCTCCTCCTCCTCCTCCTCCTCCTCCTCCACCTCCTCAGCCTTCTTCCTGCCCACCCTCCGCCTCTCCAGTGGGCAACTTGCTCGTCCGACCCCCCCCCCCGCCCCCCGCCCTCGGCCGCCCGAGAGCCGCGGGCGAGACCGCGGCCTCTCGCGCGGGCCGGCGAAGCGCGGGCAGCGAGCCGCACCGCGAGAGCCGGCGGGGGGCAGGCAGCGGGGGTGGGGCTGGCAGCGATTCTGCCGGCCTGACCTCCGAAGATGCGAATCACGCACAACGGCGGCGAAAGCGAGCTTGCCGCCTACCCCCAGGCGTGTCCTGGGCGACAGGGCGGAGACTCCTGAAGCGCACGCGGCCGAAACATCGACCACCGCGTGACTAACGGCGGCGGCGCAGGTCCCCCGACCTCGCCCCGGCGGGGGGGCTGGCAGCGAGGGCCAGCGTCCAGCGTCGAGTCGTCGAGGATCCTCGGAACCCAGACATGAGAAAGCGTCGTTCAAAAAATCAGGACGGGAGGTTTTTGTGGACAGTTTTTCCGGCCTCAGGGGGCCCTCGCCGGGCCTCGGGAGCGTGACAGAACGGCCCAGGATGGAAACCTGGTTCTGGGGAAAGGGTCAGGACTTCCGGGGACGCCGTACTGAAAAAATCAGGACGTCTCATGTCTGGGAACGTGTCTTGGCGCGAACGTGTGCTTGCCCACGGAAGAGCCCTTCAAGCTACGACGCAGGCGGCGCTGTGAGTGCCGAGACAGGCCGCGTGTGACCGGTGGACCTGAAAAGGGGTAACACACACAACCACAGACACAGACACAGACACAGACACAGACACAGACACAGACACAGACACAGACACAGACACAGACAGACACACACACAGACACACACACACACACACACACGCGTTGGGCGAACACACGTCCTAAGGATCATCGGGATCGGGCAGGCGGATCGAAGCCATAATCCCGTCGAGTCTGCTTATAATCGGGGCCTACATCCTTCTGATCGGCACTTCCCTCCCTCCCCCGCCGCCAGCCGCAGGCGACACACAGCGGAGGAAGGAGGGAACCGTCTCGGGGCTTCGGCTTGCCATCCCTCGGATCTGGACGCCCAAAATGGGTGCGGAAAAAATGGATACAATGCCCAACAACAACTGTTGTCAAAAACGAACACCGGCCGCTGTTGGGCAGGCGGCCTTCTGATTTGAATGGACACAGGCCGTGGCGACACCGACAGCGAGTCCTTTTCAAAATGAGCAAGAACTGCTGTTGGGAATTGCACCCATTCTTTCCGTACACATTTCGCTCATGCCGATCAGACCTTCATTTCCCGTGCACTGTTTGACTTCGTGCGCGTTCGTTTCCTCAGGGTGGTCCAAGATGCTCTATGATTCAGTATCATGTAACCGATCCCCATCCCCAGCGGCGTGGCCTGGGCCCCACTGACCGATCTACCCCCCTAGATGGGGATATAGGTCGCTCTTTTCGGGTCTCGAGGGGTGCATCCCCAACTGGGGTGGTAATTTGGTGGGGGTCTCGAAAGGGGATGGGCATCGGCATGGGCATTAATTAAACGACGCCGAATGATGCTCCGGACTGGCCGTCGCCAGCCTCGCCCGCAGAAGGCGCACGTCCGAGCGGCATGCCGAGGCGGCAACTAGCTCCTGGAGGCTCCGGCCCAGCCGTGCGGGAGCGGCCCCGTCGTCGTCGTAGTCGCTCGTCGTCGTCGTCGTCGTCGTTGTCGTCGTCGTCGTCGTGGTCGCTCGTCGTCGTCGTCGTCGTCGTCGTGGTCGTCGTGGTCGCTCGTCTTCGTCGTCGTCGTCGTCGTCGTCGTCGTCTCCAGTGCCCTCGGCGGTGGCGGCGGACGCGGCGGCCGCGCCCGGAGGGCCTGAAGCCCTGCTGGAGCTCGCCGAGGCCGCGGACCTGGCCCAATACACCGACAGGACGAGAAGGGAGAAGATTGCCAAGCTCGCCATACAGGGCAATTTCTTATACATGGGATTTAAAACATATCGGATTAATACGTGATTGATATATGAATAAATGTATGCATGAACTCACCATTGTTTTTAGAACTAAACCCCTGCATTCGTAATACATGATCCGCACGCGGAGCATGTATTAAAAACGGCACTGTGCCTACAGACCCATCTCTAAACATGAGGCGGTCATCAGCGAAAGACTGGAGACTGTTGGGCAGCTTACGGGAAAAATGGCTACCCCCAGAACCAATAGTTGGACGACAACGGCCCGGGATGGCCGAAGCCAAGTACCATTGGCCGCGGTGGAGCTAGTCCATTAGCGTCGGGGAGACGAAAGACTCGGGTGCGGGGGACTCGTGTTGACCTTATGGGGCCAATATGAAAATGACAAGACCCAATCTGAAGTCTAACGCGAGCTCCCGCTGCAAACATCCCACGAAAACCGGACTGTCAAAATCCAGGACGCGCTCGTCCAAAAAACTTCGACAGACCCGAGTTCTGGCTTACTCGAGTCTTACATATCCCCGATAGTGTTCTGTTGCTCCCATCGCGCTCAAAGACCACATCCCAGAAATAATTTCGAGCACCCGGAGAAGTGTCGAAAGAGTGTCGAAACAGCGTCGGACGAGTGTCTCGCAGGGCCCGACGCGTGAAAGCCCTCGAGTTTCGGTAACTTTTGGCGCTCGACTTCTGGTGATCAAGGCTAAATTAGGTTGGAACATCACAACGATAGTGGTGCCACTGCCCGAAGGACGAGGGGAGGGCGAGGCGCGACACGCACGAGGCAGACGCGCGCGGCGCGCGCTGGTGCGACTCCCCGCGCCCACGACCCTGACCTTCCCCCAAGAGGCCCCGCCGAACAGAGGATGAGGATTAAGTCGGGCGTGTCCCCCTACAGGGGGATTTTGGAGGAAAAATAAACCATACTCCAAAAATGCTCGAAAACACTTTAAACATCGTAAAAACAATCGTCCCCAGACTATTTGTTTGACTAGTTTTGAATATTCTTCCTGTATTGGGACAGGCCCGACTTAGATGATGAGGAAGAGGAGGAGGAAGAGGAGGAGCAACATGATCAACGGCACTATGACTTCCCTCATCTTCCTCGCCCACCTCTTTCCCGTCCATCAGCCGGACGCCTTGGATGCGGAAGAGAGGGAGGATAAGCAGAACGCGAATGGCGACGGCGAGGGGGTGGCAGTGGAGGACGAGGACGGGGATGAGGACGACGGGGAGGGAGGCAGGCAAACCCCCCCCCGGCACCATTTCGGTCACAAGCCCGTTCATGTACTCGCACTCCTCGGCGTGGGGGGGAGCGCGGGGAGAGTCTGCTACCTGGGCACTGCCAGCTCCGTATCCTTCTCATCATTCGTTCTTCATTCCCCCTCCCCCACCCTCCTTTCCTTCCTGGTCCATCCTCCCCCTGCTGCTCCCATTACACCTTTTTAGCGTCAGGCAAACATGAGCGACGAGGCGGTTGCGCTCGTCCCTTACACATCCTCCTTCTCATCTTCCTCCTCATCAATCCTTCCAGCCCGTCTCGCAGTCCCCCTCCTCCTAATGTGTCTGCTGTTGCTGCTGCTCCTTCTCCTCATCTTCCGTCTCCTCCTCTTCATCCTCCTTTTCTCCTACACTTCGATATCATCATCTCCAATCTTACTCACCATCCCTTCGTTTTGTGTTCCCTTATTATCATAATTATCCTCCTTCTCCTGCTTCTCCCCCTTCGCGCACCTGACTCCTCTAATGATCCCCCAGCTTCCCCGCTCTGCTTCCCATCCTGCTGTTCCTCTTCCACTTCTGCGCATCCTTCACTTATCCACTTATCCTCCCACCACATCCCGTTGATTTCTCATACTCCTCCCTTTCATCACCATGTCCTTCCTCCACCCTCCTCCTCCTCCTCCTCCTCCTCCTTCTCATATCCTTCTCAATTCCTTTCCTGTTCTCCGTCTTCACATCTCTCTCTCTCTCTCTCTCTCTCTCTCCCCCTCCTCTCCCTCCCAAGCCCTGGACGAACACATTCGCTTCCGAGGTTCCTGCCAACGCCATTGCCTATCCTGGTGCGTTCGTCCCCCCAACTCCTGCTTTTCGGACCGGAAACGCAGAGTCAAAATACTGCCATTAAATCATCGTGCATGAAGAACTAAGCCTTGACGAAGCCCCCACTTCGCAGCAACTGCACACCAAGGTCGACGAATTCCGCTCCACGGGCCCGAGGAACCCTGAGGCCATTCCGAAACCACCGATGTCCTTACTCCAACGTTGAAGGGGCCCTGAGACACACAAATGAATACACACAAATAACAGGATTCTCCATATTGTCCTATATTTTCTAGGTTTTTGTCTTCCCCCCCCACTTCCCATATTGTTCCATATCTTCCTGGGAATCGGCGATCCATTGTGTCTGTGTGTTTTTTCCCCTCCTGAAGCGTCTTCAACGCTCGGCGACTAGAACGGGTGCGGTTTGCGAAGGGTGCGGTTTGCCTCCCGTCATATCTGCCCCTCCCGCCCCTAGGAAACGGATGACACTGTCACTCAATGCGACCGAATCACATGACACTGCTGCTCCTTCTAGCGCAGTGGAGCACACATCGAGGATGACAGTGTCGCTCGAAACGACGACAAAATATGACATTGTCTCTCACAAAGGCCCCGGAAAGGCCGCCACAAAGGAATTCGCAAACCGCACCCGGGCGTAACCGCACCGATTGTAGTCGCCGAAACGCACGCTCCTCCCACCCTCCCTCTCCCTCTCGTCTTCAGCGCACGGCGGGCGGCGGGCGGCCCCGGCCGCCCAGCCCACCAAGAGCCCCCCGCCGCTTCCAGTGGCCGCCCCTGGCGATCTCGACGAGGAGGGCGAGGAGGACGAGGAGGAGGACGAGGAGGAGGAGGATTAGGAGGACGAGGAGGAGGACGAGGAGGACGAGGAGGAGGAAGAGGAGGACGAGGAGGAGGAGGAGGAGGAGGAGGAGGAGGAGGAGGAGGAGGAGGGGGAGGAGGAGGAGGAGGTTCGCTCCTCGTTTTCCCCTCCCTCTCGTCCCACCTCACTCTCCTCCTGCCCGACTGTCCTCCTGCTCTGCCACCGTACCCCCCCTGGCACGCGGAGGCGTGCCTCCCTCTCCCAGGCAGACTTCTGCGTGCACGGCCCCTCCCTGTCGAGGCCACTCCC